AATGTGCAAAGGCGAAATTAAAGTTACAATTTACAAGTCTGATCTTACAATTCGAAGAAGGGAAGTGCAGAAAGTACCCCCTGACAAGGGCTGTCAGGAGTTTCATATTGCTTAGTATTGGGTGAAGGGAGGTCTTTGTCGGATTTTGGCCTGGAACAAAATTATATTCACAGAAGTGGATGTATTCATAATTAATAGGAGGATCCGATTACTGTAGCACACTGTCAGATTGTGGAGTGTCAGGGTGATGAAGCAACTTTTTGAATTCTAGGTTTTTGATCAAACACATGGATTGAGCCCAGTCACTTGAAACCAAGCACATGCGAGCTTGCGAGCTGCGCGTGTTCGGAAATGTTGCTCGCTTCGTGCTACAATCTGACAATTCGATTTGCGCTTGCAAACATGTTCTTTTTTGTGTGCCTGCCTGGCCTTCATGCTCTCAAAAAGCTGCGTGCCCTGTGAGGCGGAGTTCATGAAGCGCCAGCAAGACTCCCTGGCAGCGCGGCTGATTCACTCCGGCCTGGCCCCGGCATCTCGGCCGAAGTTGGCAAAGGCATGTGGCAAATTCGTTGGAAGACGTGACATGGCTGTGGGTCAAAACCAATGGTACGATTTTGGGGTAGGTGCACCACCCATTTTAGTCTATGTTAGTGGGGATTGGGATGTTCACTGGGGGTACTTGACCCATGGCCACATCGGAGTTTGGACCGAGGAGCTGAGCGTCTCCTATGACAGCTCCATGAGTACCCTGCCGCCCTCGCCAGCGGGCTCAGAGATTGGACTTGTGGGGTCCTTGAGGGCAGTGCACATGGCCTCCTTGTTCTGGATTCGCAGGGGTGCTAAGCGATTTCGGCAACCTTCGTTTGCACGTACTAGCACGGTCATGGCTCTTGCAAGGATGGCGCGAGGAAAAGGGTTGCCTCCGCCCTCTGAGGGGCCGACACGAGAGCGAAGACACGGAGCAACGGATCGAGTCGGAGCCGTGGAGGCCCCAGCATCCCCTATAGGGTGACATTTGAACGGCGCTTCCCCAGCGAATCGTCGGGTTCCTTTGGTTGTTGTTTTAGGTGTTTAGCTGGTTTAGTGGGGGGTCCATTTAACCAACTAACCGTTACACTTTTAGCAGGGGATCTGAGCCGAGATTCTTGGCTTCGCGCAAAGTACCATTCCGGGAATGGGAGCCAGGTAAAAATATTTGAAAATCGATGGGAGATGCTCCTGGATTTGGCTTGCAGCCACTGCCTGCCTGGCTTGGGCCAAGGACTTCGCCAGATCAAACTCGTCTGACGTCAGGGGCTTGGAGCTGCTTGCGTTGTGGCAGTGGCTGTGACCTTGCTGTCGGTTCTACCCAGGTCAGTTTCGGGCATGAGTCCGGATTAACTAAGTTGCCTTTGTCATGTCTGGTGCTTGCAACTTTGCAAACGTGTGACAGAGTAAATTGGCTTAACGGTTCTCGCCCTTGAACTCCATGGTGTTGGTAAGTTATTGGACGCTCCCCGTAACGCGGTCCTTGAGAAATCAACTGCAATCTCCGCACGTGATTTGCATTGCATGTATGGTTGGAGCTGTCTCTTCCACAAGGAGTAAACAAGCACGGTGTCGTGCACACTGCTTCCATCATCCCTACGTCCATGGCCATCACAAGCACCGGCACCACCTCAGCCATTACCCTCCCACTGCTTTGGCTCATTGCCGCACCGCCACCGCCACCAGACAGCAGCAGTCCCGTTGTATGAGCGGTGGGGTCTGTGTGTGTGAGTCAAGTCATGTGAGCCACAATCAAAACCCAGGTAAGTGAAGGTTAGTAAGGGACGATCCCAGCCATAAATAGCTGCGGCCGTCTTCTTAGTTCTTTACATGGTTCTGGATCGACCATTTTCGTACCGGGTTTTGATTGTGACTCATGTTTGGCTGGCTAAGTAGACCAATGCATGCCAAATGTTGTTTGCCAATGGTACCGGCCTCATGTAATAGTAGCAATGAGTGCAACTGACAAATGCATATGACCGTGTCAGTGTGTGTGTGTGTGTGTTTGTGTTTGTGTTTGTGTTTGTGTTTGTGTTTGTGTTTGTGTGTGTGTTTGTGTTTGTGTTTGTGTTTTGTTTCTTTTTGTGTGTGTGTGTGTGTTTGTGTGTGTGTGTGTGTCTGTGTCTGTGTGTGCTGTGTTTCTGTGTGTGTGTGTGTGTCTGTGTGTGTGTGTGTCTGTGTGTGTCTGTGTGTGTCTGTGTGTGTCTGTGTGTTTGTCTGTGTGGGTGTGTGTTTGTGTGTGTGTGCGTGTGTGTGTGTGGGCCTTTTGCCAGCGGACCAGAAACCGCGCTTAACGCTCGCTTGACTGCTTCGCCCTAGCGCAATTGCTCCACTGCTTCGTTTTAACACTGCGCGCACGCCCGCCCGCCTGCTTCGTTATAGGACTGTGCGCACGCCTGACCATGGCATTCACACCCGACTGCTTTGTTATAGCACTGTGCACACGCCTGTTCACAATAAACGCACCCGCTTGACTGCTTCGTTATAGGACTGTGCGTAGGCCTGACCATGGCAAGCAGACCCGCTCGACTGCTTCGTTTTAACACTGCCCCCGCGCGCCTGACCAGGGTAAGCGCACCCGCTCGATTGCTCGTTTTAACACTGCGCGCGCGCCGGACCTGGTCAAGCTGCAAAGCATATGTCCGGAATTTGCTGCCTTGATGCAGCCCGCATGCCCTTTTGTATGTAAAGTCTTGGCAGTGGCGCTACGTCCTGCGCAAGCGAGATGTGGAGCAGCAGACGCAGGGAATGGGCGATACAATTTGCGTTTCGCCTCAGCCAAACGCAAATGTAGGGGAACAGTTTGTTCATGACTTTGTCCTCTTGGGCCAGTTTTGCGCTTTTGACGGATTCTGTCGGTTTTTGTCGGGAACTTGTCATGTTCAGCGTTTGGCTTTCGCTTTTGTTCGTTCCTTTTAGCTTAGCGCTTGCTGTTGTTGGTTGTGTCGTTTGTTGCTAGTTTTTGTTGGTTATTATTGTTCATCAACAGTTCAACAAGTGTGTGTTGGTTGTTCCTTTGTTTTTGTTTGTTTGTTTGCTTGTTTGTTTGCTTTGTTTGTTTGGGTCTTGGTTGGGTGGTATGTGTGTATTGTGTGTGTATGTAACGTGTATCTATGTATCTATGTCATGTATCTATGTAAGTTTGTAGTAGGTGTGTAAGTATGTATGTATGTATGTATGTATGTATGTATGTATGTATGTATGTATGTATGTATGTATGTATGTATGTATGTATGTATGTATGTATGTGTGTGTGTGTGTGTATGTGTGTATGTGGGTATGTGGGTATGTGTGTATGTGTGTGTATGCATGTATGTATGAGTATGAGTATGAGTACGAGTACGAGTACGAGTACGAGTACGAGTATGCATGTATGTATGCATGCATGTATGTATGTATGTATGTGTGTGTCATGACAATATTTTAGGCGTGACTTTGCCGGGGAGATCCAGACGTGAGATGCCGCAGTTGAGTTTCAATTTTCCCTCCCGGCGCATGGGTCACCAGCTACCGCACTGCGTGGCATGTAGGCCAACATAGAAAAATGTCAAGCCTTGTCGGCTGGTCTAAAGGGGCTGCTCCACTCATCTTGACATGAACCAGCAGCTGGCGCACTACTGGGCCAGCTGCTGATGCAAGACCAGTGGAACAGCCCCTCTAGACTGCTATGACCATTGACACCATCTTAGTCAATGGCCGGGAGCGCGCGAGGCAACATTAAATTTGCTTCAGATTACCAGGGTCAGGCATGCTCCGCAACTTTGACAATTTGAAATTTGAGTTGGACTGCAGCCGTTGCAGAGCCGATCAAGTCACACATGGTTGTCATCACTGCGCAACTCCGTGAGAAGCGGGAGAGGGCCATCGCAGTTGTCAAGACAAACCCCAACTAGGTAGTCTCACATCATATTAATTATAGTCGTCTTTGCGCATGGTCAGATCTTCAGACAAATGTTGTCTCCTAATGTTACGGTCAGATTGTCAGGCAAATTGCGTTTCCGCATAACTTTTACGGCCAGTGAGTAGTCTTATTTAAACTTAACTTCGAATTCATTAATAATTAAGATTGTGGGTCAGGTAAATTCTGTCGCTGCAGAGAACTAGCTAGAAGACTACTCTGATTTCGGCACGATTAGACTGTCAGGTCTCCGCAGAACTACGGTCCGGTACTACGGCTAGATTGTGAGTGTATTATAAGTGACGATCTGACCATAATTTTCGGGGACGTGATTTAACAATGATGACAATCTGACTGTAATTTTGCGGACTGACCGTAATTCTGCGGAGATCAAAGCTGATCACGATCTGACCGTAATTCTGCGGAGACTAAAGTTGATGACGATCTGACCGTAATTCTGCGGAGACTAAAATTGAACACGATCTGACCGTAATTCTGCGGAGACTCAAATTGACGACGGTCTGACCGTAATTCTGCAGGGACTAAAATTGATGACAATCTGACCGTAATTCTGCGGCGGCTTAAACTGAACACGATCTGACCGTAATTCTGCGGAGAATGATATTGATTACAATCTGACCGTAATTCTGCGGAGACTACTTATGATAGTTGATTACTGCGTTTTTCAGGCTTTTTGCCAAATGATTGCAGTCATCATGAAGTTCTTGACGATCTCACCGTAAATGCGTGTTTTGACAAAATTTGACAAATGTTAATTTTTGTGAAAATTTGTCAAAATGTGTCACATTTTTCTGCGGAGATGAAAATTGATTGACGATCTGACCGTTATTCTGCGGAGGCTAAAATTGAATACGATCTGACCGTAATTCTGCGGAGACTAAACTTTGACCGTAACTCTGCGGAGACTCAAATTGATGACGATCTGACCGTCATTCTGCGGAGACTAAAATTGATTACAGTCTGACCGCAAGTGTGCGGAGACTAAATTGACCGTAACTTTGCCGGATCAGCAGCCTCTGAGTGGTGCTGCTAAATAATATTTAAACTTTTCTTTGAACCTCAATCACTTGCCAGCCAATGTCACTGACTGACTGTGCCAGATGAAATGAACAATTTAAACCATTGTTTTGGCAACAATGAACCTTTGTCAGCGAGGGGCATCAGGCCTGACAAAGCTGATGTATTTTTTAGATTGGTGCCCAAACTTGCTGCATGCTGCTTGTCAGTCTGTGCCGGATTGTCAGCCTTGCGTTGAATTTTCGAGTGTTGATCGATATTACATGTCATGTGCAATTTGCAGCATTGTCGTGGCTAGCAGTGACCACAGTGACAGTGACCTGGCTCGACTTGTCAGGGATAAGCGAACAACAGCAGTAGCAGGAAAGACTCCAGGAACAGCAGCAAGCAGCAAGGAAAGACTTCAGGCAATAAGCGAATCAGACTTGGCATTGTTTGCTGTGTGATGTCTGACTTCATGGTAGACATTGCGGTCCTGTGCGCCTTGGTCTGTGCTACAAGCTCATATTTTACTTATTCTATATTCACTTCCTAAACCCTAAGCCGTAAAACCCTAAACCCTAAACCTAACTTCTAATTACTTTAATTTTTATTTTAAAAGTTAAAGCCAAAACGCTCGCGCCGGTGCGCCTAACACTGGGGCTTCTCGAAGCTTGTTTCCAAGTTCTGCGTGTGTCTTGCGAGCTTGTAAATCTGCTTCGCTGCTCGAACCCGAGTTCGGGGCGAAAAACTCACATTTTGCCGCGCGCTAAACTTTCGCTTCTCAGGCTGGGCCCTTTCGGCAGCGGCGGAGCCGTGGGCTCGGCGGGGCCCCGGGTGGCCCCTCCCTGGCGCGCGCTGTTGTTTTTCGTGGCCCCGTAGCGGTTTCAGGCTGCCGGGCGTAGTTTTTCGCGCCCCTGCCGTGGTTTTCCACTTCCGGCCATCGAAAACATGGTTCTGATGGACTCGCAGGATCAAAGCGCCCCTGCTGTGGCACGGCGATTGGAGTTGCTTCTGAAACGCTTCTGAGGGCTTGCGCGAGGGCAAGTTTCGCGCTCGCGCTGTTCCCTTGCAAACTTTGTCTGTAAAAAATTCCGGGTTTGCTTTCCTTCAGGCCCAAAATCCGTGGCTTCGGGCAAGGAAGTTGCTCTCCCTGCCGCGGCTTGTCAGCTGCTTCGTCGGTCGCCGCTTGCTGTTGCTCCCGACTTACGTAACTTTGCCGCGGCGCGCCCGCCGCTCGCCGCTCTTTTGTCGCGCTTGGTGTGTTGAGTGGCGCTGGCCGCGTGTGGAAGCTGGCGCTTGGAAGCGGGTCCTGGGTGGGTGGGATTAAGATCGAAACTTTTGATGTTCGCTTTGAAAAACCTACGGCTTGAAATCTTTGAACCCTAAACCCTAAACCCTGAACAGTAGTAGTTGTAGTTTAGTAGTTAGTAGTAGTAGTAGTAGTAGTAGTAGTAGTAGTAGTAGTAGTAGTAGCAGTAGTAGTAGTAGTAGTAGTAGTTTAGTAGTAGTTGAATAGTAGTTTAGTAGTAGTAGTAGCAGTAGTAGTAGTAGTAGTAGTAGTAGTAGTAGTAGTAGTAGTAGTAGTAGTAGTAGTAGTAGTGGGAGTGGTTTAGTAGTAGTAGTAGTAGCAGTAGTAGTAGTATTATGTTTTTGTTGTGTGTTGTTTGTTGATATTTATTTACTTTTGATTTACTTACTGCTGTCTGGTTGCTATTGAATTGTTGGTTGGTTGTGTTTTGTCTGTGTCTGTGTAAGCTTGGTTGTCCGCTACTGTTGTTGTATTTTGTTGTTGGTTGTTGCATTGTTGCTCGTGTTGTGTTTGTGTTGTTTGTTGTTAGGTTGTTGCTTGTTGTTGTTTGGTGGTTACTGTGTTGTTTGGCTGTCAATGTTTAGTTTTCTATTGTATTAGTGGTAGCGCATCATTGGGTGCCGTAGCTGGTTGAAATTCATTTTTTTTTTTATTTTTTGTTGGTTTTTGTCGGTTTCTATCAGTTTCTGTCGGTTTCTGTCGTTTTTTTTTCCCCCCCTTTTTTTTTTCTGGGGGCCTTTCGATCTGTTCACCTACGATCTGTTCCCCAAACTTGTTTAAACATTTTGGGAGGTTTTTGGGGGCTCAATGAGCATGTCGCTGGGGTGAAACGCAACTTTTTCAGAAAATCGGCAAAACACGAGCGCGAAATTCGGTCCGCCGGGTTGTTTGTGTGTGTGTGTGTGTGTGTGTGTGTGGGTGTGGGTGTGGGTGTGGGTGTGGGTGTGCGTGTGCGCGTGCGCGTGCGCGTGCGCGTGCGCGCGTGCGCGTGCGCGTGCGCGTGCGCGTGCGTGGGTGGGTGCGTGGGTGCGTGGGTGCGTGGGTGCGTGGGCGGGTGGGTGGGTGGGCGGGTGGGTGGGTGGGTGGGTGGGTGTGGGTGGGTGGTTGGGTGGGTGGTTGGGTGGGTGGTTGCGCGTTTGCGCGTTTGCTTGGTTGTGTGTGTGTGTTTGTTTGTGTTTGTGTGTTTGTGTTTGCGTATTTTCATATTTGCGTATTTGTTTGTGAGTGTGTTTTTGAGGTATGCTTTTGTTTGCATGCATGTTCGTGGTTGTGTTTTCCTGTGTGTTTGTTTGCGATCTTCGTGGGCATTCTCGATTCTTGTGGAAGTGCAAGAGTGCCAGGCCACACACAACAGCGGCTCCAAGCGTGGCTCGCCTGGATGGTGGCATGCAGTTCCAGAGTCGGCTGCATGCAGCAAACGTACAAGCGAATCAGATGCAAGTTGCATTTGCTAGCTGTGCGCATCCTTGACGCATGTTGGTGGATCCTGAAATGATCATCAGATGTCTCACGCAGACTGAGCACGTCTGGCTTGGCAGGTGACGTTGTACTCTGATATGGGATTTTTGTTCCGAGCAACCGGCTGATGCATGGAATATGTGGAAATGGGTATGCCAGAAGGCAAGTTTGGATCAGCTGCATTCTTTCAGGCTGCGTTGGCCACGAGGCTGGTGGAGCACGCAGGGCAGCTGCAAATGGGTTTGTGTCATACCGCTTGCGCCTTTCAGTTTGAATTGGCAGGGCAAAGAGCTGGGGCTGCCAAAGTGCCCTTCGTGCACTGCAGCTGTGGATTGCGATTGCTTGGGGTGCCATGTCATAGGTTCTGTTTTGGATCACGAGGGTCCGTTGAGCATTCGGGAGAACGTCATTTTGTGAGGGCAGGTTGTCCTTCTCGGGGTGGCTGGGCAGCACAGTTGCGTGCCTTTCGAGGTATTTGCAAATCTTGAACCCTCCGCTTGGCAATTGGTTGGACGAAGGTCTGACGACCCCCCCCCTTGTTTAGGTTCCTGCGATTGGGCCCAACAACTTTGGCCTGTCCCAGTCATTGCGCCACTTAGCTTTTGCCTTAAAAGCTCAGACTGCGCCAGTCCGCCGGCCGCTGGGTGGACTCACCGGCCGGAGCAGGATCTGCCAGGAGCCTGGTTGCACGTGTTTGCTTAACAACCATTTCAAAAGGGATGCGCAAAGTTGGGCCCGCGCGCCACGTTTGCTCCCAGGTCGGAAACACATCGTGCAGAGGCCTGGTCAGTCCACAGGGACGGCCTAAAGCGATCCTGTTGATTTTTGCACATGGTGCCCGTATTCAAGTCGAGTACTTGTTGTGCGACTAGGTTGCTCGGAAGTGGTTGGCATGGTCCGGTAGCGCTGCAACATACCGGAGCCAGCGCAAGCTAGCATGGCCTGCCCAGTGAACCCGCTTTTTGTGTGAGGGCGTGCTGTGATGTGGTTTCTTTCCGTCCTTCCCCTGGTGGCTTTCCAAGTTGAATCGTTTTTGGGAAGATGGTCATAGTCATCAGGGCGGTTCTCTCAGTTTCTGGGGAGCAGGAGGGGCCGCATTTGCTTGATTAGGTTTCAGCGGTGTGGCAGGCATCCCGTGTTTTGCGAGCTGAGGAGTCAGCACTCAGCATCATCAGCGGCCCTCCCCCACCTTATGTATGGGATGCTGAGATTCTGGCTTAATTTTCCGTGACTCTGGCCAGGAATCCAGGCCGCTTGGCCAGCACAGGGGTCGTGCCAGCTGAAAATGTTAAGGGTTGGAGCGCCACGTGTCCAGAGAGGCTATCATGTGTGTGTGTGTGTGAGCGACTGGATTTAAGCAACCAACAGACAAATACAACATTGCTGGCTGGCAAAGGAAGCATGTGGCATTGATTGTTGCGAACACCCTTTTAATCTGACCCTCGAAGACAGCATTTCCAGGCAGGCCTTGCTGCGTTTGTGGGTGGAAGTGTGGACCAGATAGCTCGAGCTGAGGTTACGATCCAGTCGGGAAAGCCAGGTGCAACTGCAGATGCATTGTCACCACGAGTCGTTCCGATAGCTGAAGGCTACAGGCTATAGGGGTTACTTCAAGGGAGGGGCAGGACCGTATTTTGGCAGGTTCTATTGTGCACGCTGCTGTTGGAAGGTGCGTAGCGTGACCTAGAATTCCAGTTTTTGCTTGCCGGTTCCAATTTTCAGTCGCGCGGGATGGCGTTAGCAGTGCTGTTTCGCGCAGGGTGCTTTTGGACTAGGAGTTTTTGCAGGGTGCAGTTGCACGGTGTCTGGCCACGAATAAACTGCATAGGCATCATAGACTGCTGATGGCGGGGTATGACAGAGTGTTGGCTGATTGCTGTTGCAGATGTGCAGTGCAGGGTGTTGTTGCTGTGGCAGGGCGCGGTCGCGCAAGGTCTTGTCACTGGAGGGTGTTGCGGAGTGGGTGTTGGCATGGGCACAGCGCAAAGCATGGGTCCTCAAGATTTCCGTGTTTTGAGCTTCACGGTCTGGAAGCACCTGGAGTTTTGGGCATCCACATGCAATCCTCACTGGTTGGTCCCCCATGCCCCGCCCCGTGGCTCGTGGCAACTTGTGTGATGTAGGCATGCTCTCTGGACAGCGGTAGCCCGTCCTTCGATGGCTTGGAGGCACGAGGGTCACGAAAGCTTGGGATCGTCGCTTTTATGTTTGCGAGGTGTTGCCGAATCGTGGTTTGAGCTGCCCATCTAAGCATGGATCAAGCAGGTCGCCGGGCCGTGGGCGTTGGACAAAACGGTGTGGAAGAATTCAGTTGCCCAGGGCTGCCAACACTCCTTCATCTTCAGCCCCAATGGGCACCTCCGGGAAGCCTTGCCAGGACCGTACCCGTGCCGAAAGTTGTGAGTTCGCCTTAGCGCGGTTGCATCCACCCGCGAGGACGGAACAGCTCCTTCGTCCCTCAGGCCGGGAAGCTGCCGAGCAACCTAGTTTTTCCGTTTGTTTCTGTGCTTTGCCGGGGATGGCTTCCTGATCGGTCGTTTGCAACGCATGAAATTCTGTCAGGGTGGTTCAATCTATCTATTGCTTTGAGGCCGAAGGGGTCCAACCAACAAGCAGGGGGGCACAACAAGTTTTGACTATGAACCAGGTTCTGTGACACAAGTGGCGACAGAAGGCATGGCGTTTGCAAGAAACATCTGCTGAACCGGGTTGCATTTGGTGGGTTCAAGGCCCGGAAACGGTTTTAGCTTGGCAAGCATGCTCTTTGTCAAGGCTAGGAAGGGTGCACTTCCACGATGCAGGAATAATGAAGGGGTGAGAATACAATCCAAAGTCCTCGCGGAAGTGCAAGGGGCGCAGCACTAACAGGGAACACCACGATGCTGATCTCAGAACAGTGTTGCACCAGTCGCGTGGCAGTGCTCGATTGTCCTGAACCGCTTGAGCTAGGCGAGCTAAAGATTGATACTTACGTGGCTGTCGGCAGCATGACTTCAATTCTAACGAACAACAGGCTTGATTGAAAGGCACCGGTTGCGACTAAATGTAAACTTGCAGTGCCTTGTGAGTGCAGAGATTCTATCAGGACTTTTGCTCGCCATGCATCAAGGCATATTTCCAACCTCAAGCGTGGGCAGGGTTCACGGACGGCCCACTCAAGCAATAATGTTGCCCCTGAGCCTTTGTGCTGGACGATGACATGTTATGCCGACTGTGCAGCACATGGGCCCAAGCCTCTCGAAGTCTAAGGTTAGCATGTTGTGCAACGCCAGGCCCGCATGGTGCGTGAGCGACACCCAACCCAACAAGAAATCAAGGCTTCAGCTGTTGGTTTTGCCAGGAGTCAGAATGCTGCAATTAGTATTACGGAACCTTGCTCAAAAGTAATTCTGGCAGATGGATGGCAGTAGCCCAGTCAAGATTTGCCACGTGGAAGGCAAGGGACTGGGCGCTGTTGCGACTAGAAGGATTGCACAAGGATCAATCATAGTCCGCGATCCTGCTGTTCTGTTGCTGACTGCCCAAGATATGAGAAACTTTCACGACCAGTACCCTACGGATGACAGGTCTGAGGCATACTTTACAGACCGCAGCGCCTATTTCGCGCCAGTGCTGCAAGCGCAGCTGAGCCGCCTTCCGCATGAACAAGCAGAGGTCCTATCACTGCATGATAGAAGGGAAGGACACGGAAAGTCCACTTGCAGGAATATTTTTTGCCAATGCCATCCCAACTGATGAAGACTTTGCATTGTGCAGCTGCCAGCAAAATGCTGCCTATGATTGGCGCGCGGAGGAGCATTGTGCATTGGTGCAAGCTCTTTGGGACATCTCCGAGGGTGAGGAAGTGTGTGTTTTCTATGGCAGTACTGACTGCCTTCTTAAGACCAGCGCCACCCGTCGAGAATTCCTGAGCTTTTGGGGCTTCACATGCATGTGTGGAGCATGCATGGACCCGATGTCAGATGGGCGGCGGGCGCGAATCTGTGAAATCAATGACGTCCTGGATGGCACTGCTGTTGTGCAGCTTCCCTTTGCCCAGCGCTACCAGTTGGCCAGGGAAAGGTTCAACACGTCAGGCTCTTCTTTCCTGAGCGAGACAATCCCGAGCGCAAATGTTTGGCGGCACAGGAAGCATTATGAATGTGGAAGATTGGTTCCCGCATGTTCGCAGCAGGGCCAGAGCAATGTACCGCACCACCAGAATAAGGCCAGCCGTACAGCCCTCAGATCCACGCACACGCAGATGCCAGTGGACCCGCCGTTCTGTCAACAAGCCAAAGAAGCTCGAGGAGTTCGTTAGAAGGCGCCAGTTGGAGGGCGTGGCTCCCAAAGGTCTCATACCGCAGGTCGTGCAGCACGTGTGGCCCTTGCCGGCCTGGCTTGCATGGACAAAAAAGTTTGCGGCCCTTCCATGTCACGTGCTTCGGCAATCATATGACATGAAACACTCACAGAGACGAACTAGGCCTTGCAAGGCCCAAGTGGAACGAGGACAAGGATTATTTTCGGGACTTGCATGCGTGCAAGCATTGAAATCTCCTGTTGTTCAGGGCGCCCCGGCAGACGATGAGATGGGCGTGCCAGAGCCACAGCGAGACAGCGTGTCTGGAGGCAAAGTGAGGCACAGCGGGCATTTTGGCATTCGATTGTACGGCAGTTCTTCATGATTGTGATCAGTGCCAGATGTGCCTGCTCCTGTCTCGCCCCCAGCATGCTTAGGCAGGGTGACCTGACGGCGATGGAGAGAGCGAGAGAGAGAGAGAGAGAGAGTCAATGAGTGAGGGAGGG